CCATGTATCTCTCTAAATTATATTTAAATATAGCATAAACTAATAACTAGACAAGACGACAACCTAAGAATAAAACCTCGACATTACCAGTGATCAAACATTTGAAGGAATGTATTTTTTAATTGACAATACTAACTTTCGAAAACACCAAAATCTATTGGAGCTGTCTTCGTCTAAGTAACTAGGAACTAATTTGTTTTAGAGTATTAATTTTGTATAGTCAACATTTCCTTAGTAACCTTCGTAGCTAACAAGATCAAAATTAACTTGTACAATTAGCAAATCTTATTGGTATACGGGCAACTAACTAAAGACTTAGCACAGAGACAGTACTAGCTATAGTTATTTTTTAAAGTGACGGGCACGACATCACCTTGCTGTTGCAACTCCTGTAAGCTAGGATCTGCTGTAATTATTAGGTATACAAACAATGAAAACACCGAAATACTGAAGTCCAGCACGTCCCCGAGACATGAACTGAGAAAAATAAATAATAAAACGAAAACTAAAGAGTCTCTACTTCCCTCTGTAAGTATAATGAAGGACACCACAGACATTCAGCCGGGGTTGCGGGGTAAGCGCATGAGGCATCGCGACCTCGGCCCAGAGCAGGAGAAGGAACAGGGGGTTTTTAGTCAGTAAGAGTTTGAAACTCCCTCCGCCCGGCCCCGGGCGGGAGAAGTCACTTGATGATTTTCCCCTCACAAAAAAGTATAATGAAGGAGACAGAATGATTTCAGCCTTAAAGGCACAAAGACACTTCATAACAGAGGGAAGCACAGTCGCCGTCATCTTAACTAATAACTAAATCATCTTCTGGATGAACTGTTACATTTGATGTATAAAATTGTATAACTTAAATACTTTTTAACGTATCAACATTCTTCTGTTACCATTGGTTGGCTTTGTAACCAATCAACTGTCTCTGTCACTGTACGAAATCTATCTTTATTTTATTAACTGTGTACCTTCCAATAATTTATCCAACTAAACAAGTTCAAACAAGTCTGCACACGTAAGGAGATTTGATTAAATCTGCAAATGTTAACCTTATTGCTTACTAAATAAGACGTCTTTTTATTTCTTGGTTTCATACTGATTTGGACTAAGTTCGGCTTTCACGCGTACCTAATCATATAAAAACGCAATTTACATTGACGTGATTTTGTTATTTGAAGCCCCTTTTATAATCAAACATATAGCAACATGCCATAACAGGTTCGCAAAGAAATAATAGATGACATTTGGTAATAAAGTATATTGATATTCTGTTCAAACACACTAATGGATGGAAGTTCAAAAGTGGACAGAAATCCGTTATTAAGCCAAAAAATTTATGCATCTAATTTCAACGTAACGATACAGGAGAAAATTTCATTCCACGATATAGGATATAATTCTAGTGGACCGACTCTGACCTAGAATAAGGTTTAAAAATCTGCTATTTTCAACTGCACGGTTACTACACGGTTGAAAGTGCCTGAGAACCGGCTGCATTGCAACAATTTGTTCACATAAATCAATACTAGGTATATGATCGACAAATTGTAAAGATAAGGCGCCGCGGCCTTGGCCTAGAGCAGGAGAAGGAACAGGGATGTTTTCAAGGTCGGGCGAAAGAGAGAACAAAATAAGGAAAAAAGGGTGTCAGGTAAATGTGAAATTGTATGTTTGTAAACACACCTACGGCATAGCAGAAAATCCCAGTGTGGGGCAACGTTTTATATAAAGGAAAAAACTGTGTGATAATTTCATTATGACATATCACTATATACAAGATACATAACATACAAATACGTATTACCCTACGTAGATAAGGAGTGAAATAGTTCTAGCCATTTTAAAAAGAGTGATACACATTTATTACTAGGATCATAATCATAATACTATTTACATACCGACCGGGATTTGGCATAGTTATATACAATTTGCTATATTCGAAAATAAATTAATAAAGAATACCTTAAAAGAATAATAATACTCAGTATATCTTAATAATCTACTTGGATAATTTTGAAAAACTAAAGTTTATGTAGTAAAATCACATACTATGCTAGGCCAAGATTGATATCAAATGTTATAAATAAAGAAAAAGTTAGGTAGTAGCCCTCACTAAATAGGTAGAGTGAGAAAGAGAGAGTGTGTTCCAAACTGTCACAAAATAGATAAAGTTAGAAAGAGAAAGGAAATGTGACCACACACAACAGAATTGATGAGGTATACTTGATCCTTCTTACCCTTATATTTATTTTAAATCGACCTTGGCCTAAGCTGACAGTATACCTTTAGAATACAGAAGTCAAATAGATACTAAAAATCACACATAAATATAAAGGTTACACAACATTCTGTTTTAAACCCTATTACTATAATCATTAAGTACATAATTCAATACAAGAATATAACTTAGGATAATCGTTACTTAAATATGTATGTAGTAAAGTCTGTATACACCTATCACCCGGTCAGTTTTTAAAGCGAAATAAACAAGTCAACATTTGAATGAAATATAGAGAGCAACTTGAAATTATTGTCGGACAATTGCTTTAAGAGATAAGCTTAGGAAACGATATCGCGGCACGAGTAACCTTACAACGAAAACATTTAGCGCTAGGTGTATTAACAACTTTTTAGTAGGACTTAGGTACTACTCTGACTCGTAGACCGAAAGAGTATTATGGAGACCGATACCAGAGATGATTTCGCCATTTTTTTGCGTCTGGACAAGGTTTGTATAACCTATGTAACGGACCAGCTATCGAGGTCCGAAGAGCAGGATGAATTCATTTTTTGATAAATATCTTCAAATACAACCACCCAGGATAAGTCATTTGATGATTAATTCCCCTCACAAAAAAGACTATTGTGTAAGACTTGTCAAAATTAGTTGGTTATATGTATATAGCTATATATCTTTATTGACACTGATAGTAGTAAAGAGGTTAAAAACAATTGAGCAACCTGACAACCTAAATTAAACCTTTAATATCCTAAGTATAAAGTTCAAATTACGAATCGTTGCCAAAAAATTGTCATTACACCCTTATGCTTGATAACATTGAAAAATTCCATCGAAACACGTAAAAATACATCAAAAAGCTTTCTCCACAACACGCGACGTGTCTGATATCTTTCTTAAACAATATCACAAATCTTCACTTCTCACCCTTTATAAATACAGCGTAAATTCCAGTACTGGTTAACGAAATATATGACTTGTGTGCAGTGACATAAAGTCTAAATTTCTACGAATTAAGTGTGATTCGTCTTGAATAAGGAAAATGAATAAAAATAAATATGTAAGTAACTTTATCACACTATTAATGCTAATAAAGAATTAATATTAAAACCTATGTGTGTGACAATACGGATCAAATTTCATTCACATTAATATCGTTTTGTAATTTTACGACACGATCAATGTAATGTCAATCATATTGTTTCCAAACAAAGTTGAAAATAACGTAGTTCTTTCTTTCGAACTCCATTTATTTCTGTTCCTTTCATCTCTTACTCCTTCGAAATAAATTAACATCGCTAAACAGTACTGGAAGTGACGACCAACACCGAAGCAAAAACACGCTTACAAAATTTGTACTCCACAAATGAATTTTTAAAACATACAATTAAACAGAATTCAACATTAAATCTGTTGTTTACTACTATACAAAAGAAATAACAATTTAAAGGATTTATTTCATCACTTCCCGTTTGTTTGTTTGTCTCTTTATTTTAAATGACCCCCGAAACTACTAGACCTATTTGGATAATTCCTTACTATTCAGTAGCTTACTTTTCAGGGAGTAAAATAGACTATTCATTATTTCAATATTCTTACAGGATAGGGACCTAATTCGAGAGACAAATTATACAAGGAAACGGTGAAATATGTCCTTGAAAGAATAATTCTACTTTTAATATACATTGTTAAGTCTATACTATGCTATGGTCTATAACAGGCGATGTAATTGTAACTACCTAATTGTACTCCGTTTGTTTAAGGCGCTTTCAGTTGTTGAACATGTGTGTTTAAAAGAAAGTAATTTAAAAATAAAAACTTGTTGTTACGAATTAATTATACATAGTTGAATAAAAATCAGTATAGTTTCACAGAAGAAAATCCTGGTGTGGGGCAAAGATTTGATATAGACAAAAAAAAATAGTTGTTGGGTCCCGCAAACCTGGCAAGCAACAAAGTGATTTTTCACCGAGTTATAATATTTACTTTCTAGGTTTATTTAGACACCACTGATCTATGATGAAGGTAAACATCGTGAGGACACCTGGACTTAACATTTGTAATAATTAAGCATTAATCACCATGCTTGGTCAAGGCAGATGGCCATTTCAAACTCATAATTATTATAACAATCTGCCTTGACCAAGCTTGTTGATTAATGGTCAAACCTTCTTCGTGTGAGAAGCCTTTGCTTGGCAGAGGTCACTAATAGACTCATGATGTGGAACAATTAAATCACTTAAATAATGTTATAAAAAATACAGTATAACATTGAAGTTAAATTCATGTGAATTATAATTTTATCAATTAATCCAGTCTGCGTTCAATTACAGTAAGTAGTAATATTCGATAATATAATTTCAAGCAAACAAATGCAAATTCCAAGAGTTCCTGTTTAATCAGAAGAGACTGTTACATACATCAGATAAGCCACCCAAACAGTTTGAATTCTTTAATAGATTTTGAACCTTATTGATTTAGACTTATACGTAAATATCGGTAGTATAACTTCAACATTAAATTTGTAATTTAACTATTTTAGTAAACTTTTTCTTTCATCATTGACTGTTTCGCGAATTCCCGAATGGTATTGTGTCATACCAAAGCACACTAAAGCTTCGACAAATTTCTTATTACGTGCAAAACGGTGTCTGGTACACAGCTTTATTACGGACCCTGACATGCTTCGAGAGTTTTCGGACAACCTCGAAAGGAGAAAACCGGCGACATGAATATATGAATTATATCAGTACAATGGCTACATTAAACAAAAAAAAACTAATAATAACTATTCAACAACTGATTGCGCCTAAAGTACCAGGGGAGTATGTAAAAAAGGAGTTTGTTACCAGGCTAGGTGGTGCGCGGTTTGACATCTTCTACTTGTATGAGTTGCTCTATTGGGATGAGAGATAGTTCGCCGCCCAGCATCGGCGCAGGAAGACTCTGTACAGAAGAATATAGGTAAGTTATAAGGTTTAGCAAATATAATAACCTTAAATAAATTACTTAAGACCAAGGCTTGGATGAATTAAAATAATTGGGTAGTTCTCTAAGTCAACAATAAATTATGTTGACATTGCAATATAATGAATAAAGAAAATAAACTTTATATTTTCATTCAAAGATATTTTTACAGAAATACGTATATTATTTGACGTACATAAAAAAACATTATGATGGTATGTGTATGATGGATGGTAAATTAACGATTTTAACATTCCAACTTAAATAATAAAAGTATTAAATTTGACTACGTAGTTAGAAACTATTTGGACATGAACGAATTTTCTAACAGGAAGTTCAATGCAAAAATATCAATTCCATAATTATGATATGTGAGATAACTGAATAAGGAAAATTAACTAAATTTAACTCCAGACATGAGATTATATGATTAAATAACCGCAGCTGATGATAAAAATACACTCATTCGATAACATTATCACAAAGGTATGTAGTACGCAAAAACATAATAATATATTTTTTTCGCGTTCAACAAAGTCCATACATATGAATACAATTGGAGTGATTGTTACTACAAGCGCATATGAATATATACGGTGCGTACAAAAATCCGACACGTGTTTTGATTTTTGTCAAATTTTACGATTTATTCGTGCCAAAGAAGGGCTCTCCCACACGAGAAAGTCGATATCTTATATATAAAAATAAATTGCTGTCCGCAAGTCTGGCTAAAACTCGGGAACGGCTGGATCGATTTGGGTAACTTAAGTTTTGAAGGGAAGTCCAGGGAAGGCTTAAAACGTCTTAACACAACTTAATATTTTGAGGCAGTACAGAGTTTGTGGGATCAGCTAGTTTTCCATAATTCTGACTGCACGGTTGGCGCGATCGCTGGGCCTGGCTACCGCGCAACGTGTCACGGTTTCGATTCCCGCACGGAACAAATGTTTGTGTGATCCACAGATTGTTTTCCGGAATCTGGGTGATATGTATGTGAAATTGTATGTATGTACATAGTGCGTGTACATACGGGCGTGTTGACGGGCGAGCGCGCTATGTGTGCGTGTGAGTGGGCGGCGGCCTCGCGCGCGCGCCGCAGCCCGAGCGAGAACACGGCCACCGAACGCACGCGCTTCACCAGCGCCGCCTTCGCGCGGGAACGACCTGCAATCAACGCTTATTTATACTATTCATACAAATCCCCTTACAAACATTTTGCCACGGTTTTTCCGTACTAAACTAGGAACCCCCATGGTTTCGCCATGTACCCTTCTTATCTTTATGGTTTGACCCAATCTTTCACCCCCAATCCCTCCTCAATCCCTAAATCTCCAAATCCCTAATCCCTTAAAGGTCGGCAACGCACTCGTAACTCCTCCATTGCGGGTGTCCATGGGCGGCGCTGATTGCTTACCATCAGGTAATCCGTCTATTCGATTGCCGACCTGTTACATAAAAAAAGTATATCTGTCTGTCTGTCTGTCCGTCCGCGGATAAACTCAGTGTCCGTAAGCACTGGAAAGTTGAAATTTGGCACCACATTTGCTAGGTACTTACACTAAATCGCGGTGTTAAAATTTACAATAACTCGCTTATTGTGACAGAAGGAAAGCTACGGAACGCTACACTGAGCGTAGCCCGATACACTCCTGGCCGGTTTTTAGAACTACGTTTAAACATACATATCGATATACGGACAGATCAAGTGACTTTGTTTTATACTATGGAAAGTCAAAGTCAAAATTATTTATTCCAACTAAACCATAAATAGGTACTTTTGAAACGTCAAAATAGAATAGTAGTCTGTCAGTCTGTTCGTCAGTGAAGCTAGGTGCTCATTCCAAATTGTAGATTCGAATGGAGAAGAACGAGCAAGAAACTCATCGACACTCTTTGTAAAAAAAAAATGTTCTAAAGTTTACATTATTTAGTATACATTATTGTCGACTTATGTGAGAGCAATACTGAGAGATGTTGGTAAAAATAAACAAAAGGTAAGATCTATCATTAAACTAGCTTTTGCCCGCGACTCCGTTCGCGTGGAATAGTCTACAGATTTTTTGGTATAAAAACTGTCCCATGTCCTTTCTCGAGTTCCAAACTATGTCTGTACCAAATTTTACAGAAATCTAGTCAGAAGTTTAGGCGTGAAGAAAAGACAGACAGACAGACAGGGTTACTTTCCCATTTATAATATTAGTATAGAAGTATATATTTTAAATCCTTTATTATCGTCTCGAACATGGCGCTCACATGTGCAAACTAACAATTCTTGACTGATTTCGTAAGAGGATCTGATATATCCCCAGGCTTCATTGGCGGATTGAAGATCACATTTATTTCATCCGAACAAATAGATATTGTAATGGCGGGCGGTTACTTTAAAAGTTATACAAGTTACTCACTGCCTTTATCCTTAGGTTTATCATCTTCACTGGAGGTGGCGCTCGCGTCGATCGAGGGTGCAGACGAAGGCACTGCGTTCAAGTCCGGTTCCGAACCCCCTGCGCTTACACTACCTGACAACTCCTACAACAAATAATACATTTCATTGTATTTGATTCTTCTCCTACAGACGCGGTAATAAGTTACTGTAACCCGTCAAACAGCCAGCTGGGATTGTGGTGCAAGTGGGGATTTAAGGATAGGGGTTAGAGTATTGAGGATGGGGGAGGGGGGAAGAATTGGGCTTGCGGTAGGTTTACTTATACGGCACAAAAGTGTTGCTTCTCGCCGGTTTTCTGTGAGGCCTTGGTATCGCTCCGGTCGAGACGGCACATGACATTCGTGCCGAAGCCTGGCTCTCCCACACATGATTTCATTTTACTGTGCGATTCTATAGGCTATATTGCACCTTACAAAGCTATTGCATTCTAAACCTACGACAAACGATATAGAGGTTATTTTTACCTGTAACGTGGGGTTGACAAGCGGTCGATGCTGCGTGGGATGTGGGATACAATGCGCGGACCTGTGTAAGGGTTCGTCTCTAAGCCCACGGACGCCCAAAAGAGAGAGGGGAGCACCTGGCGTCGCTTCCTGGGAATAAAAATTAATTGTATTAAAATACCCCCCTTTTAAACCTTTAATTTAACAAAGGTCTGTTTACAAGTATCTTTGTTTTTGTACCGAAAAAAAATGTACAAAGTTGGCGATTAGAGTGTTATTTTATTTTATTTTATTTGATTTAATTAATATTTGATTCAATTTAATTTAGAGTCTCCTTTTAAGCAAATAATATCTCTATTAGGACGCTCCGCTCTTCCATATGAATATACAAAAATAAAATAATAAACCTAGATTTAGATTTAAGACATTAGTCTCCCAACGTCACTGTTGGCGTGATGGCTGGGCAACTGGCTGCCGCGTAACGTGTCGCGGGTTCGAATCGGAACGGCTATTTGTGTGATCTACAAATTATTCCGGGTCTGGGTAAGATGTGTATGTGACATTGTATGTTTTAAACGCACCTACGACATAGGAAAATCTCCTAGTTAAGAGACCCGTATAAAAAACGACTGATTTAATTTAAAAAACATGTATGGTAATAGGCACCAAATAGTCCCGCTACGACCGGAAATCTGAAGCTGAGCTTAGGGAGAAACCGCAAGGAATATAGTAGCTAATAATTGTTAATAATTATGTTGAAAATGAGAAAGTTTATTAGTAGATTTAAATCCCAGAGATATAATTTTAGGCAATAGGTTTAGGTTTACACATTTTTTATACAATATTCTAGGTATTTACCTACACATTTTCCTTGTTTCACTTTATTATTTTTAACAGAAAATTATCAGACTGATAACTACGCAAATAATTTCGATGTGAATGTTTTGACTTTATTATTAGATAAAAAAATAAAATGTTCGGTTACGTCTTGTGTCGTGGGTGCGTTTTCAAACATACAAATTGAGATACACACACAAGCCAGACTAGACCCGAAACAACAATTTGGATGGATGACACAAAGTATTTTTCCGTGCGGGAATCGAATCGGGGACACGTTGCACAGCAGCCAATTTCCCGGCCACTGCGTCATTTTAATAGATAGAGTGATGGAAGAGGAAGGGTTTATATGTATAATAACATATACTAAATGGCGGAGAAATGTAGAATCAGCATTGCTCTCGGCGCAAAATCGGGCGAGACAATGAAACTATGAATTTATTTTTGTAAATACGCCATAAAACAGCACTTTTACATATCAACATATATATTATATATATAAATATATAATTCTGCTCTAAGTGTGTATGTCATTGAACTCCTCCTAAACGGCTTGACCGATTTAAATGAATTTTTCTGTATGCGTTTGAGTGGCGCCCTGGACGTTTTAGATTCACAAACGAGCACAGATGGTGCCTAACGATTTCGCTGAAATTTGATATGTGGGGTTTTCGGGGAGGATCCGCTAGTTATGCATAACAATCCCGCATTTTCTATCCCTGAGATGAAATGCGGAAACAAAAAGACAACACAACAACACACTATACTCGGAATTTTAATTCCATTCCAGATTTGACAATTTCAGTGTTGCAACGTTATGACATGTAATAAATAGTGACGTTGCAAAATTATTCGATATGGAAATCGAATATTTCTGAATCGATTCCTCTCGTTTATAAATTTAATCTCGTAAACTAAGTTTATCCGGAAATAAAATATTTCTGAACCGATAATTTAGTTTCGACAATTAATTAACGATCTGAGACTTTTCTTTTGTAATTGTGTGTGAAATTAATAAAAAATGTGATCATGAAGGAACGTGACAAATAAAACAGACATTTTATAAATTGTCGCCGTCATCGCTATCGCTATCGCTGTTACTCTATGTAACATTTATTATGAATTGTGTCTGTGATATTTATTGTCAATTAACATATCTAGCTTACTCATTTTTTCCTCTTCTCTGAAAACATGGGATACACGTTTAGACCTTATTTTATGTAGATTCACTGATTGTTTATCGATTTTTGTGTTCATCACTACACTGTTATATGTGGTATCATTATTTCACAGAATGACAGTGGTCAATGTCAAATCAGGAATCGAATTAAAATTCTGACTATAGAACACATTGAAAGGCGTGCCAAGAGGCTCATCAACGACGATGCGCCAGTGGAGTCCTGACTTCAAAGCTCCGAACACAGACGGGAAAGTTGCGAATCGGTTTGTTATCGGCTACATTTAAGAGAATATACAGGAAAGCTTCATAACTCGGTTCCCCCTAGTCCTTTCTACCATGGAATCGGCAAAACGTCATCGCTTTATGGTGGATAACTACACGCAAGAAGCGGTTCGCTTCAAGCTTTATAATCCGAACCGCTACCGAGTGGAGTTCTTTGCCGGAGGCTATGTTCCCCGAAGGTTGTCTTCGCTGCTTAAAGGTAGATATGGCTCCATCGTAGGTCGCATCAACGCTTACCACCAGGCCTGATAGCGACCAAATGTCTGTCCTTTTCGAAATCTATACTAATATTATAAAGAGGTATTTGTAAGTTTGCAAGTATACATATATGTAAGGGGCAATGTTTGGAACCGCTGGTCAGATTTTCAAAATTCTTTCACTAACAGATAGCTACAATGTTCCCGAGTGCTATAGGCTATAAAAACATCACGCTACGATCAAATGGAGCCGAGCAGCGAGTGAAACCGCGCGGTATAAACATAAAGAAATAAATTCTAATAATAATAATAAGCTTAAATTCTTAGATCACTCTACCTTACGTCTTATAGGCTTGGTAGGACTGACGTCAGGCAACGCTTGTAGGGAACCGGTCACGGTCACAGGCGGATCCGACGTCGTCGTTATGGACGCCGCCTTAGGCCTGAAATTTCATGTTAAACAATATCAGGATCTCTAAATTATAATAACACGGACAAATGCAAGCTTTATTACTTTTGGAATATGGTCGAATAGGCTATGGAGTGTGTTTAAGCTAGATAAAGAAAATCATTTAAAAATCGGTGGCCCGTAGGTTAAGGCAAGGACCAATATGACTTTTGCCGAGTTACATGTACTTTCTATGATTATTTAGATATCACTGGTGAAGAAAAACATCATGAGGAATCATAAACTTATACTTTCTAGTTACAAGTTTGAAATCGCCAATCCGCCTTGAGCAAGCGTGGTGATTAATGCTCAAAGCTTCTCCGTGTGAGAAGAGACATTTGCTTAGCAGTGGGCACTTATAAGCTGATAATGTAAAGTTATGAGATAAAAAAATAATAATATATAAAGCGAGAGTAACTATGAAGTGATAGATGTTTTTATCATTGTCAACAATTTTTTCTTAATATTTGTCGAATTCATCAAATCTTATGCCAACTCTAAATAAAGTTAAAATAAAATCAGTATGATCAAATAACTTAAGCCATTTTACATGTCTGGTATTTATGTATAGTAAAACGGGGTGAACAGATATCTACACGAAAGGGGTGCATTTTCCTAGTATTTATTCACCCTTCTTCTGTGTCTATTCGCCCCGTTTTACGGTAACGAACATGTGTTATACAAAAGCTTTAAAATATTGTACAGAAATTTGTCAAAGTCAAAATCATTTATTTCAAATATGCGGCAATACGTACTTTTGAACGTGAAATAAAAAAAGTTCAACACTGTGTGTCAGTCTGTCTTCTAGTGAAGCTATTTGCTTGTTCCAAAGTGAAGATTTCAATAGAGAAGAACGAGCAAGAAACTCATTACATATTACATCATTGTTTTAGCAGACAAATAAAAATAACTAAATTTAAACTTACAACTTATATTACAGGTCGAAACGTCTAGCCTACCAAGGTATTTAAACAATCATTTTTCGCGTTAATACCCGCTTAATTATATGTTGTAAATATGAAACGCGAAAGTTTAAAAGTTGGTAAATTCACACTCCATATACTATTCAATCCGTGTCAGGGAAACGTGAAAAGTGCTGAAAGTTAAAGTACAAGTGTTAGGGATAAAAAAAGGAAAGAATATTAGCGCAAGTGCGCGTTCGTTTACACAATGAGGGCCACTATTCTTTGCTCACCAAATGTTAATGAAGCATTAAGACTGTAAAGCATTAAGTGTGGGAGAGCTCGGCTTCGCCAAGAATAGGTCGGCTCGACCGGAGTGATACCACAGCCTCATAGGAAACCGACGTGAAACAACCACAGCGTTGTGTTTCGCCGTGTGAGTGAGGCAACTGTAGGCCCAATCCTTCCCTTCCACCAAACCATCTCCAATCCCTAAATCCGTCAGCAACGCACTCGTAACGCTTCTGTTGTTGCTGGTGTCCTTGGGCGGAACAGTTTGCTTACCAGCAGGTAATCCGTCAGCTCGTTTGCCGTTATCACATAGAAAAGGGAGAGGGGAAGAATTGGGCCTCCAGCAACCTCACTTACCCGGCCAAAAACAAAACTGTAATTATTTCACGCCGGCTTTCTATGAGGCATCACACGTGACCCATTCGTTCCGAAGCATGGCTCTCTGACACTTAAACTCACGCTATTCATGCTTAATAAGGTGACACGAAGATTTCAAGAATCATATCAAAAATTGTAAACTCTATTGAAGAACTAACCCTTAAGCTACATTAGCGACATCTAGTGAGCGAAAAAAGACGGTAGCCCTTTTTTACATACAAATAGCACGTAGGATGGCGAAAGATGGGTGATGGCTTAGCAAAGGTATTAAAGGTACACGCACACAGTGGTTCATATTACCTTTTGTATTGCAGAAAGATAGACGAGAGTTCGCCGATCAACAGGTCATTTGGGTACTTTATTTATGGTTGTATAATACACGTGTTTATTGCAAGTTTTGTTTTTATTGTAGGATAGACAGAGTAGGCATTCACATTTTAGAGCATGTTAACCGAATTAGGTACGAAATAAAATTTCGACTTTCTATACTACTATTACTATAGCATAAAGTTGATTTTGTAACTGTTTGGACATTTTGTATTGATTGTCTGCCTCAACTTTTCTTGATAAAGAGCAAAATAAATGGTACCCGACGGAAGTACCCTGCATAGATAACGATTTTTTTTTCACTTATTCGTAAATTTCTTTAATATATTTTGAACACTATCTTTTTGAAATAGAATTGAAGTTCGATTCATGAGAGATTTGTCTTACTAACCCAACTTTTAAAAGCCAACAACGTCTTAATATACATATCAAATTAATAATTAATTTAATACAACATTATATCAATATCTGTCTATCCTAACATAAATTCCAATAGAATAACCTGTCAACCGCAACTAGGAATCACAAGAAAAACTTCTATTACAGTTAAAAGATTTATTGCAAATTAACATTTAATATTAAAAACAAGCATAAATACTGTTATGGAATAAAAACTTATTTGAAATAACATATCGCTACACACCCATCCATCTTAATACTTGTGCCAAATTAACTGAAAACAAAAAAAAAGTAAATTAAAATATTTTGGGAGTAGCGGGTACAAGCCTTATGCTGTTGATGACTCGAATGAGCTGTAATAGACATACTAAACTAAACATTCAAATTTGGTAAATAATGTACTATAATTTCTTATTAATAAAAAATCGACGAGTTAACTTTGCACGATTTTAATATGATTAAGTTACAAGTTCAATTACAGTTTCATCAACATTTATATTTGATGACAGAGATCATTTCTGATCCATCTTGAAGGAAGTTGCCTATCACAAGTTATATAATAAAACTATATTAAAGGAACATTAAAAACATCTTCATTGGCTGTCTAAAACCTTCTTACTAAGCGTGTTTACGGTTACAAGGTTAATTTAAAATAACATTTACGATATCTCCACGAAAATTATTCGAACATGCCTGACTGTTTTCGAGTTACACCATGGCTCATAAACTTTAGCTGTGCGCGCGGAACGAATCACTAAGCTGATTCAGTGTGGTTCAAAAATTATCTAACAAATTCGAATTATCTAACTTATTAAGTTACAAATACAAGTTTTATTGAAATTCAGCATCTTATGTTAGTTATTTTCACTTACCTGAAGGGCGGTATTTCAGGTATTTTCCCAATAAAGAGTTTCTTCTTATCAGCTATTGCCTTGTCGCTGGCTGGCTGCTTCGGTGTAGTGGGTGTCACTGTCCTCGGGGTGTTTCGAGCTGACGGACGAACGTCGTCTTGACTCGTACATTCAGACTTTGAAGTAATGAAATAAAATTTTATAAGGAATATTGAACTATTAGTCTACATTCATATTATACATAGGTAAATCTGTTAGTTTGTGTCGGTAATATTTGGAACCGCTGGTCGGATTTCCAAAATTGTTTCACTTATAGATAGCTACAATGTTCCTTATCGAGATTTACCGGAGGCCCAATCCCTCCCCTTCCCCTATCCCTTCCCGATCCTTATATCCGAAACCCCTATCCCCACAAGGCCGGCAACGCACTCGTAACTCCTTTGGTGTTGCGGGTGTTCATGGGCGGCGCCGATTGCTAACCATCAGGTAATCCGTATGCGCGATTGCCGACTTATACCATAAAAAAAACTTTTCAACGCGTGCGAAGTCGCGGGCGGAAGCTAATTTGACTAAAAACCACCATCTGCTTTTTCCTACTGCTTTTTGCTAAACATTTTCACGTTTTTACACTTACCATAAGCGGAGCGTGGGCGTTTTTAATGGCCTCTCGTCTCTGGAACTCGACTTTGGCCATCTCAGTAGCCAACCACGCCGGTATCTCGGGTATAGCGATGCGCAGAGCCAATACTATCACCAGAATTACGTGCTGAAATATATGTACATAACATTAATATTTATTTCTAGAAAGTAGTGTAGCATCATCATCCCATTGCTAAGCAAAGGCCTCTTCTCACACGGAGAAGGTATGAATATTTATTACCACGCATGCTCAAGGCGGAATGACGAATTTTTTAGAAGTTAGTCCAGGTTTCCTCAAAATGTTTTTCTTCAACGTATGTCAGCTATGTAGTATGTATCAATCAGCTTAGAAAGAAAAAAGTGATATGCCTCTTCTCAAAGGAGGGGTCTTAACATTGCTATAAAATTCAAAAGATCTATCAAAAAAATCTAACTCCAAAAGTCTCTAATTTTTAAGTAACATTAAATTACAACGTGTCGTGATTAGGTACGTTTACGTTGTAAATATTGTATTTTTTATTGTCATAGGTCGGCAAACGATCAGACGTATTAGCTGATGGTAAGCAATCAGCGCCGCCCATGGACATTTATAATATCAAAGGAGTGAATATAAGTGTGTTGCCAACCTCTTGAGGGGTTTGGTTGGATTGAGGATGGCGGGAAAAAGATTTCATTAAGATTTTTTGGCAAATCGAAATATTCAGAAATCTAATTGGGTAACTAAAAAATCACGGGTTACTCACGTGTAATATATTGAGAAAAGCTCTACTAGTTTCGAACCACAGAGGGGTTTTTCCTCATGAGCAGCGTGCGCGGACGCGGCGACGTCGCGCAGCCTACTGTTCGAAACTAGTAGAGCTTTTCTCAATATTTACACGTGAGTAACCCGCGATTTTTTAGTGAATTTAGTATGTCTCACGATAGTTATTATAAAATCTAATTGGGTAGTTTCCTAGGTCAAAAATAAATTACTTAGTTAGATGTTTCAATACAATAAAATAATGAAAATTAACTATACTTTCATTCATCGATCGATCGATACCTATTTGGCGTAAAAATATTATGATGTCATAACTCAGTATTTCATAAAAAAAGTGTAGTTTTTGATATTTGGATAAAAGTATTGAATTTGACTGGAGTTGGAAACTACCGTATTATAAACCTTGCCAATGTTATAACAGTTAAGTTGTTGACACTAGCCTTCAAACACAGGGTGAAAAGAAAAAAAAGCTCCACATTGCTCAACAAAAATAATATAAGGATTTGAACCTTACCTCAAGCGCCACAATGACGAGTATGGTCTGCGCCGGTGTTGCGTCTGGTAGCATACGGTGCACGGGGCCGGAGAGACCTATAAGCGCGCAGTTCACTAGAACGGCGACCGCAACCATCGCTTCCATTGCATGCTGAGAAATAAAAGATAAGATAACTTAAACAAAGAAGTCTACATAATAAATCGTTCAGGATAATAAATTCCTGTACAAATAACTCATTCTTTTTTTAACGTTGATTCACACTAGTATTTTCTCGTGTGTCGTGAGTTTGTTTAAAAACATACAATACAGAATCCACCCAGACCCGAAACAATAATTTATGGATCACACAAGTGTTTTTCCGTGCGGGAATCGAACCCGCAACACGTTGCATAGCAGCCAGTTGCCCGGCCACTGTGTCAACCGTGCAGCCAAAATACAAATAGTGAACAATTAGAAAGACGATTAGAACTTTGAAGTTCTAATCGTCTTCCTTTTATACCACATGAGGCAATGTGCTTTCGTATTAAAAGTTAAACCAAACAATCCGTCAGATATTACAAAAAAAAATTGCTTTCAATACAAAATTGCGATATAAAACCTCAATTACGAAACCACACTATTAATTTATTTATGGCTTCATGCACAAGAAAATTTACACAAAATGGACTTGATGCTTTAAGCATTCTCTACCAGTATAGACCCTTGGGTGATGCAGAGAAGAATACTGTATATAAAGATACTAAATAATATCTAGATCAAACAATACAACATACCTGCCAGCTCCCAATACTCTTGACCCGTTCACCAAAAGGCCTTTGAGCGACGTGGCACAGCTTGAAGGCGTCAGCTCTGATCTCAGCCGCGTTATTGAGCAGAGCACACACTGCTGCCAAAGGGAACGCGGACGAAAAGAGAACTACGTGGCCTAGCTGTGTTAGCATTTCCAAGTATTCCGCAAATGTGCCATCGTACTGTGGAGAAATTGGAAGATTCAAGTTTATAACCTTAAAATAACTTTATTAAACTTACGATCAAACGTCTTAACAATACAATACTTAAAAATCTATGTTACTAGTCACCCGCGGCTTATGTTGATAAAAAGAGTTAATTATTAGCGTCAAAACTATGTTTTAATCCAGGGTATCACCCATATGTATACCAAATTTCAAAAAACAAATCTAGCCGTTTGCATGGAAGAATAACAAAACCTAACATTCTCAAAATATTTCAAACTTATAATGTTAGTAGAATAGTAGAAGTGTAAAATAATGTTTTCAAAAGGAAATAACTGACAAATTTTATGGAGAATGCGATCGAAAAAAATATATATGTAAAAGCGAGCTGCAAAAATTCTCGGTTTTGAAATCCAAATCACCAAGATTATATTAGCAAAGGTTAGGTTATATTGCCAATTAAACATTTACTAATAGTTCCTATAAATTATTGAACCGAAAAAATTAAATAACGACATTAATTTTCGAATTGACGTCTAAAGAATAATCACTGGATATTTATCAGACTGATGTTAGAGTTATTAAATGTTCTGATTTTGAAAATATTCGTTAGGTGTGCGAACATGCGTCAAGAAAGATCCCATGGCCTCACAGAAAACCGGCGTGAAACGACCGCAGCGTTGTGTTTCGTCGCGTGAGTGAGGTTACCGGAGGACCAATCCTTCCTCCTTCCCAATCCCTAATCTACAAAAGGTCGGCAACGCACTCGTAACTTTTCTGTTGTTGTGGGTGTCCGTGGGCAGCGCTGATTGCTTATCATCGGGTAATCCGTGTGCCCGTTTACCGACTTATCACATAAAATGAACTACGTACTTTAAACAGCTGCGATTCCAACTCAGCCTGATGTATGACCTTCTGTCCGACAATAGGCTCCGAGTCCCTTCTATCATCCTTCTCCTTGTCCGTACCGCCGTTCACCAAGCTATTCTCTGGAGGATCGCCTGAAGAGTCTGTTTTCTTGTCGAATAACTCAGTTAACTGGGCTGACGTTGGTACTGTTAAATTGCAGAAAATCAGGCATTTTATTACAAGATAACATAAGATGTGTTCGAAACATCTGAATAATCTAATTATTATTATCTAACGAGTCAGACTAACGATTTTTCTGAAAGGATTATCCTTTCTGCGAATCAGAAGACTGACACACTTGTTAATAAGGTAGTTTTCCATGTCAAAAATAAATTAATTCGTCATTTCAATACAATAAACTATGGAAAAAAAAAACTATATTTTTATGCATTGATTTGTCGATACATAAAATTTTTGATATTTAAGATAACTTTTAAGAAATAAGTAAGCTATTTGACGCAAATATACTATGGTGTTAGAATTCGCAATTACATACAAATTTCATAGCAAGGTATCGTTTTTGACATTTGGATAAAAGTATTGAATTTGACTAGATGGAAACTACCGTTTTCTCTAGTGTTGTGAGTGTCAATAGAAGGTGTAGACTAAAGAAAATCATATCAGCTCTAGCTTAAAACTTACTTTTACTAGGGCTGATGGCACCGAATACGTCGACGCAGATCTTGGCAAGCCTCAGATTCTCAATAAGATACGGTAAAGCCGACTCTTTCAAGTTACCGATTACTTGTCGAGTTATCAACAATACTGCTAGTTGCTGGAAAAGAAAGATATATCTGCTTAGATCTGGAGGAATGTACAAGATTTTTACGGGACTTCTATAATCATTACCCTGTCATCTGTTGGTATATGAGACACAATAGAAAACCATTGTATCTGGCTTATATCACGGGTTAAAAGCCTAGACAAATCAACTTCTAAAAAAAATATTGACACATGATTACTATGAAATTAATAATATAATCATTTACAAAACATTTACAAAGACTTTCTTAGTACCTAGTATCAAAGTCAATAGTCAAAAATCATTTATTTCAATTAGACCACAGTAGGCACTTTTGAACGTCAAGCAAGCAAAAAAGGAAAAAAGTATATAACAAGAGCTTTAAAATTAAGCGTGTCAGTCTGTCCGTCTGTCCTCTAGTGAAGCTATTTGCTCGTTCCAAAGTGTAGATTCCTATGGAGAAGAACGAGCAAGAAACTCCATGGTTACTCTTTTTCAATCAGTTTTACAATACATTTCTTTGTTACATCATTTAGTCGGTTCTGATATGTGAGAACAATGTAACACTAATGTTCAGGCAAAAAGTACGAAAAAGAAGTGAACCTCAAGGACAACATAATTAGACAGCCTGGAGCTGACCAGTCCCCAATAGGCGGCGCCCGTTCACGAACATGACACGTACACCAGCACCGCCCAACTCAACCATATTATAGGGAATTGGGCGATCCAGTGCCCGTGCCACCGCCAATGAGACCTCTGAGTGAGCATGACAGCTCCCAGCCGACACAAGTACCTATATTCTACAAGTCTTACTTAATTATAATAGGTTACAGGGCACTCACATTTACAAAAACTTAGAAGATCATCAACAATTAACAACATAGTGTACAAATTAATAATTAAAATCAAAAATTCCTCTAAACATCCTGTGGAGTAGGACCAGCTAGCCTCCAAGCATTTTTATCTTGTATATAATCATTTACTTTGTAGTATGCTAGTTTACATAAATGTTTCTTTATACATAATTTGAATTTGCTTTCATTTAGATTTTGAATTTCAACTGGGATTTTATTATAACATTTAACACAGAAACCCAGAAATGATTTATGCACTTTTGCCAATCTAAATAAAGGCTGACTCAATCTATTCCTATGTCTAGTATGATAATCATGTTTGTCAGATACCTTTACAAATAAGTGTAGGTTTTTCCTAACATACATAATGTTTTCATAAATAAATTGACTCGGTACGGTCAGAATGTTGATCTCCTTAAACTTTTCTCTGAGAGATTCGCGACGACCTAAGTTATATATAGCTCTGACGGCACGCTTTTGCAAGATAAAGATAGACTCAACGTCAGATGCCTGTCCCCACAACAGAATTCCATACGACATGATGCTATGAAAGTAGCTAAAGTACACTAGTCTTGCCGTGCCTATATCGGTTAGCTGACGGATCTTCCAGACAGCATAAGCTGCAGAGCTCAATCGTCCTGCTAGAGACCTGATGTGGGGCCCCCATTGCAACTTCTCATCTACAGTGATCCCCAGGAAAGTAGTCTCTTTTACAAATTCTAGTTTCTGATCATTTAATAATATATCATCACATACATTACTTTTAACATTTGGTAAAATAAATCTAATGCATTTAGTCTTTTTATCATTTAGTAATAAGTTGTTTATTGTAAACCAATTTTGAACCTTCATTAAGGCATTATTAACTTCGTCATATTTGTTTGTTCGTCTATTTATTTTAAAAATCAATGAAGTGTCATCAGCGAATAATACCATATGCGGTTCATTTTGGAACATATGGGGCAGGTCATTTACATAAACTAAAAATAGAAAAGGACCTAATATTGAGCCCTGCGGTACGCCCATAGATACGCTAGCACCCAGTGAGTTAACTTTGTTGACTTGTACTTTAATTTTTCTTTCTTGAAGGTATGATTTCAATAAATCTAGGGATACCCCCCGAATGCCGTAGTGTTCTAGCTTCAGTAACAGCGTCTCGTGCTCAACACAGTCGAATGCCTTTGAAAGGTCACAAAATATTCCGATGGCATCCTGTGCTTTTCCCCACGAGTTGAAAACTTGTTTTATAAGTGATACTCCTGCGTCCGTAGTGCAACGTCCTTTGGTGAACCCGTATTGATGGTCATGGAAAATACAATTCGTGTTAAAGTGACGCAGCATTTGAGTAAGCATCAAACTTTCGAACACTTTACTGAGCACTGGCAAAATAGAGACCGGCCTATAGTTATTAGGTTCTGTACTATCACCTGATTTAAATAATGGAACTACTTTACTATGTTTCATCAAATCCGGGAAAACCCCTTGATCTACACTTTTATTAAAAATGAACGTTAAGTTCGGCGCAATTGTCTCTATAAACGACCTGCACACTCGAACAGACATTCCCCAAAGATCTTCAGTTGACTTCACTTTGATCTCATTGAACGCCTTTATTACTGCCTGGGGGGTTGTGTATTGAAAGCTAAAGTCAGAAGGACATTCTTTGACGTTACCCCTGAGAAGCTCGACAGAAAGTGCTGGAGATGATTTTAACGTTTCCGTAGTTTTAAGAGGAATATTTTTAAAGAATCTTTCGAATTCCTGGGCAACTGACGAATTTGAACTAGTATATCCCTTTTCGGTTTTTAAATTAAATTCAGTGTTTTGTGATTTATTTCTACCTGTTTCTTTATTAATTATATTCCAGGTAGCTTTTATTTTGTTTTCCGCGGTCCTGATTTTATTACCAATAGTATTTTTAAGAAGTTAATTTAGTCAAGTAAGTACATATTTTAGTTGATTACTAGTGTCACTAAACTATCAGGACAATCCATCACAAGCTCCTAACTAATAAATACTGACGAAATTTTTGTTTTTAAAACAAAAAAAAATACAATAGGAACAAGTCGCAACTTTATTTGTACACCAAAAACATGATAAAACACAAAATATTTATGCAATTGGCGTTACAGACAACTATTTAAGAATACTACAATAAAGCAATGAACGAACATGCTAAACAAATCCAACACATCCGGTCAGAAAGTAAACAAATTAATGCCTCCATCCCCCAAGGGACTGTTATTGGATGCCTACTGTTTATAATCTACATAAACGACCTCCCTACAATCATAAATGAGTCATGTGTTCTATTTGCCGATGATATCTCGATACTAACTTCTTGTCATGATAATACCAACCTAACCGGAGTACTTACAAATATATTCAATAAAATTATAACATGGATGACAGAACATAACCTTGAAATAAATTTAAAAAAAACTAAAATCATGACCTTCCACCCACATCAGAAAACGCCTTTAGATATAAAATTTATTTACAATAATACAAAAATAGAAACCGTTAAAGAATTCAACCTACTCGGCCTATCCATAGATACAAATTTAAATTGGAAATCACACATTAAAAAAATCAAGTTTAAGTTGTCAAAATTTGCCTACAGTGAAATAAAAAAATCAACAAACCTCTCCACTGCTCTGGTTACATATTATGCCTATGCATACGCATGGTTGAACTACGGCATAATTTTATGGGGAAATAGCACAGACGCACAAACACTTTTCATACTCCAAAAACGACTAATTAGAATACTAGTTAACATAGACAACATAGAGAGCTGCAAACCCCATTTCCAAGAACTCAAACTTCTAACACTACCCTCTATATACATCCTGGAAATGTGTAAATTTGTTAGAAATAACGAAAAACTTTACATTACACGCGAAAACACACAGACTCACTACACCCTACGACACAAAAATAGACTAATCCTACCAGGTTCTAAGCTAAAAATACACTCCACAAGCACTTTAGTAATGGCAGGTAAAATATATAATAAATTACCAGATGACATTAAAAATGAACAAAAATGTAATATCTTGATAAATAAATTAAAAAAACTTTTAATACATAAATGCTATTATAATGTACAGGAATATTTAAATGATAAATTTAATAAATAAAGTAAAAATAACACAAGGTAAAAATAATGTATTTGTTCAATTAGTTATAAGTTATATAAGCCTATCTACATAAAAACAATGAAAAATTGTAAACATATATTTATACTAGCCCTCCTCATAAAAATTACTACTATTGTTATGCCCGACAGGGCCCACAATGCTCCTAAACTAATATAAGTATGTAAATCCTTATGTACCCTACCACCTAAGTTCACATTGTGGAATGCAATAAATATATTGAGTATTGAGTATTCAATAAGTAATACTTTGCCAACTCAGACTTACTCAACTGACTAAACTGGCTAATACATTTGACAAAAAAATAGAAAAACAGTAAAATCACTCACCTCTTTTAATTTATCCATATCCTGCAGGTAGAACGCTATATAAAATAAACTCATGAACGAGTTGACGAATTGAAACTGGAAGAAAACAATTCAATACAATTTATTTTTATATTAAAAATAAAACACTAAAAACATCAAAAGCGAACTAATCACGACTACGATAGTACTAGTACTTTAACAATGAATTTATTTATGATTTGAATTTAAATAAAATTGTTTATATAAAGTAATTATATTAGTGAAGCATTTCCACGTTTCACAAGATAAATAACTTTACTAAGGCCTCAGATTCTGAAAGGAGTTTTTTTAACATGTTTCCCCACAAATATCGTAGCTTAGTATACAAAGAAACATATTAACCTACACATTTCCCGAAACAATTCTTTGTGTGATTTACAAATTGTTCCAGTGCGAGAATCAATGTTTACTTGAACACCCTTTCTCCAGACTTGCTGGTTAACAATATTCTTTTTGTGTTTTATAGTCTATTTATCGAAGTAGGCTATAGGTTAAAAAAATTACGTTGCTTTCAATAGTAACTAGTATGTAACAAAAAAACCCTCCATGTCTCGTTAAGCTCATATCTCGAGAACAGCTGATCCATTTTCAGTGATACTTTTATTGTTGTGTTTCTAACTATCAACCGTCTATATGATCAAACGAAGGGATTGTCTGTTTAGACTGCGAGAGCAGAATGAGTTCTTTATCTACGCATCCTTTGTCTGCTTAACATTTCACTTCCAAGTTGTTATGTTAATTATTATTTACAGCTTTAGTATGAGTTACTTATTCATTAAATTATTTTTATAATGAAGTCACATACTTAAATAAAATCGTTAATATTTTCTACATTCCCCTTTAAACCTGAGGATTTAAAAATTATACGAACTAACAAAGATAGCAATAAGTTAATATGGTTAAAAGAAATAATGATAACTAAATGAAAATTTTAAAACGCACAGTAATGCGTATTTAAAAAAGAATATTATTTAAATCTGTACAATCAACAAAAGATAACATTTAATTCAACATTTTGATACTTGCGCAAAAACGTCCAAATTATTGCGCAAACTTTGCGCAAAGCCGTTTTGCTAACTCTTGTTGATAGTACAAGCATGGTTAATAAATATTTTATTCCTCATGCAAGCGAAAAGAAAACAGCGTGCAATCTCTATCACTGTGCTTTCAGATTCATTTGATTTACCAATATTCTTATGTTTGGTTAAAACCTGCTCCGTTACTATGAAGCAAAGCGTGATGGAAGCTTAGCTTTTGAGTATGGCGTTAGATTTTTGTACAGCATTTTATAAATACAAACCAATGCTATTTTCACAATCAGGTGATTCTCATACTTTGTCTCGAGTCGATAGTTTTCTGTTTCAAAAAATGACGTCACAATTCAGTGTTACCATATTTTTTTTTGTTTTATTATTTTATTAAATGTTGTATCCAGTCCCGTTTGGTAAGCAGTAAAGAGAAAAAATAATATGCGCTATAGTATATCCTCTACACACTGTGTTATTCTACTTATTATTGTTACTAAATAAACTATGTGTCTATTTAAATTTCGATTAATTAACTATTTAAGAATATTGTTTAAAAAATTGACTAAATATTGCTATACGAATAAAATCACAATGTATTCAAAACTAAATATCATGCAAGGTTTTCGAATTACAAAATGTCTTATTGCACATACTTGGGATAGAAATTAATCTGACATATTTATACTTATTAGTGTCATAACTATGATAAAAAATATTATTAAAGCTGTACGGTTTACACATGTGACTGTCCAAAAAACGTCTGGTTTCATGCAATATGCTCTAAGTCCAATGATTTATCCACTAGTCTAGTTTCACTGTGTCATTTATAACGCGAACTGCTTATGATTTCATGCCCCGCGCATCGCTTGAAACCATACGAGCAATCTTGTCGAACAATGTCATGAGTAAATCGAGCAGCCTAATATTTTTTTTTTTGGATTTAAAACATATTTTAATAAGAACTATGACGTGCATGTGCAAAAAGACAAGACGTACCATAAAATCGATTTACTTGTAAAATTCAACAATCTCATGTTCTGACTAACTATATTACGGGAAAGATATTAGAATCACACTTCATTTTGATCATTTTTAAATCGTATCCAAATCAAACAAAATATAAACACACAAAATGAAGTTACAATGTAAAACGTTCTTGGGTCAGTGGTGAAAACAGTATCAGATGATCAATGTCAGTAATAAACTGACTATTTTACTTAGGGCTGAATTTTCAATAGGCAGATAAATGTTATCTGAGGAATAAAATTGTTGCTGTCACTGTCTTATACAAACATACTGACGCGACAGCATCATTATTATTCCCCAGGTAACTTTTACCTGACTATTGAAAAATCAGCCCTAAAGCTAAAACTTGCAAAATGTTTATATAAAATCTTCTTGGCTCACGAAGATAGTATCTTAGAAAATTTAATAGAATAATATTATATTCAATTTAGTATATACATAGTCTGGCCATAAATACTGTTACAATTAAAAAATAAACACAATATTACATTTGAATTAGGAATCTGTCATTTTTAAATAATTTTTCATTGTGTTTTCTTATTTTGGCGCCAATAAATTGTTCAATAATTTGCGATATTATAAAAAAAAAATTTTACAAAATAAAAAACCGCCTTCAAAAAAAGTCAAGCAATAAAAGTTCCTACACTAAAAAGTAAAAAATAACAATTTGAATTACTGTAAAAAAAACTTAATTTATAGGTAAACTTATTTGACATTAATATTTTGCAAATATTCAAAATTTATTACTTATTTTTGGAGTCGGTGCCAGCATTTTAATGTTGAAACTTAATGTTAGTTAGCTTTTCAATATCCGGTGCCATTTTTCGTACATAATGCTTAAACATTTTCAATGTACTTAAAATGTTTTTGTAAGTACATATTTTTTATTTAAAAAAAATGTGCAAATCGGATATTTTTTGTAGATAAGTCTAATCTGTATTTATGTCTTAATTAATATACCTACTTAGTCGGGTCATAAGTTCTGTCACAAACTTTTGATGTAATAACTTATACGCCTTTTGACAATTATTTAAAAATTATATATGAAATGAAAGGTCATTAAATGTACAATATAATTTTATTTACATTATTCGAAATGCCCTCCCCCATTTTGAACACATGCCCTTAATCTACGCGGCCAGTCATCGATCGCTGCACGCACCACATTCATATCTATGTCTGCCGCTGCTTTAACCAGAGATGCTCGGAGAGACTCCAAATTCGGGTGAGGTTTAGCACAGACTTTTTCCTCCAAATATTGCCATATCTTGTAGTCCAGTGGGTTTAAATCTGGACTAGAAGAGGGCCAGTCTTCATGCCGGATGAAGTCAATTCCACGAGCGATCAACCAGTCTTGCGTACTTCGTGCCTTATGAGCCGGTGCAGAGTCCTGTTGGAATATCCAATGCCTGTTCCTGAACATTGTCTGAGAAAGAGGTTCCACTATGTTTGTTAGGACAGTATTTTGATAAACTTCGGCACTAGTTCTCACACCTTTTTCACAGAAAAACACCTCAGTTACGCCTGAATATGAGACTCCAAGCCAAACCATGAATGAGGAAGGGTAATGCCCACGCTGGACCCTCGCAATACGCGCGCTTGCTTCTTCACTGCTGTGGGCATACACCTTATCATTTTGTTTGTTAAAACTTTCTTCAATAGTAAAAATTTTTTCATCCGAAAAAAGAATTTCGCGGTATTTTTTTCCCGCGTACCGTCGTAGCAAAGCGCGGGATCTGTCTAGCCTAATTTTTTTTAAACGCTCGTTCAAAAAATGTCCTGTCTTTTTACGATAAGCTCGTAGTCCCAGGTCTTCATTTAGTACTCTTTTAACAGTGGTTCTGCTTAGCCCCATCTGCAGAGCTAGGATTTTTTGTTTACGTACGGGATTTCGTTCGATTCGCGCCTTCACTGCTTTGATGACCTTATGTGTCCGAACTGTGCGAGGTCGGCCGCTTCTCTTACGATCTTCGAAGCTTGACTCTTCGGTGTATCGTTTGATAGTACGATAAACAAACCGTAACGTTATTTTCAAATTTTGAAGAATATTGAAAATGTCTTTTGGCGCGTAACCACAGCGGTGCAACGCGATAACCGCGATTCTGTCTTCTTTATTCGACCACTCCATATTTAAAAATGAATAAAAAATAATTTCTTTTTTATTTTCTACAAGCGCGAAAGTTCTATTTTTAAAATAAGTCGAAGAATTTCTGGCCAGTAATCGAAAATTAAAAATATAAGGTTTTGACAGAACTTATGACCCGACTAAGTATATTTGAGTATGCAAATAGGTATTAAGTAGTTTTATAATTAAGTAAGAGGTAGTTTTTCAAGGGATTGTTGCCCATTTGTATTTCCTTGCATGGGCTGGCACCGACTCCAAAAATAAGTAATAAATTTTGAATATTTGCAAAATATTAATGTCAAATAAGTTTACCTATAAATTAAGTTTTTTTACAGTAATTCAAATTGTTATTTTTTACTTTTTAGTGTAGGAACTTTTATTGCTTGACTTTTTTTTGAAAGCGGTTTTTTTATTTTGTAATTTTTTTTTTATTTGTAGCCGTTTAGTGTTTTTTTTTATTATAATGTGTTATGGCAAAGAAGTCAATATCGTTCCTACATTTCTTTTGAAAAAGTTACCAATGTCATACTTATACGTAGAAATACATATCATAGTACATTGTTACTGTGTAATCGTTTTGATCTCGAGGAGAGATGATATGATGCATGAGATACTTATGACTTTTAGTTAAAATAAAATAATAATCTTATCATAAATTCATATTAGTTCTCGCCAAATAACAAAAAACTAGATATTTTCATCAACAGACAGATAAAGTTCAAAGATACCAAATGCAATCTAATTTAATATCTATGATTAAATACATTCGTACATAGAAAAAAGACCGATGCAATTATTGTTTTGTATCAATTGTAACCCATTAAATGAAGAATACTATTTTGTTATTACTAAGAACATTCATATTATAGACAAGTTGGTAAAAATACAAAAGACCATCGCTATTGTAAATATACATTTATGACTCATTCAATGTATGAACCTTTTTTAAGTAAGTATTATTAGTTACAGAAAATTAGCTTCAAAATCGTCGATCAGACCAAATAATTCATGTAGTTTTGAAAGTTGGTATAGTTATTCCTTAAGGTGTCCAGATGAATATACTAAAAGCCCCCGAGGGAGGGACACGAGCCGGGGGTAGGGGAAGGGGGGGGAAGGTCTCTTTTTCTAGTGTTTTGCTTGTGGCTCGAAAACTATTCATAATATCTATTTGGTGACTTCTATATTAATTATCTGCATTAAATTCCCTACAGAAGATGTCTGAACATGTTTACTGTACGATCAATACTTTAGAAGATGCATAGCATTAAAAGTGATAAATTTTGTTTCATGTATTTTGGCAAAGATGAAAAGCATTTTGTGATTCTATTCTCTTTCTGCATAGTTTTAATGGCTGTGATACAACCTATTTACAGGAAGGGCAAAATATCAGTTATTAAGCTTTATGATCAAAAGCCATTACTAAAAGAAATAGCAACTGTATTTTATGACCCAACATCAACTCCGGATGTTATAGCAGAAGTCGGAGAAAAAATGTTTCTGGAAATATACCGAGCGCCCTGTACTCAGTCTGAGATTAACAGATATCGATTCACAGTTTCTCTGAAATCTTGTACCAAGCCCAAACCGGATCTTTCTTCCCTCCCCCCTACCAAAGGGCCAGCGAAATATCACGCTTACAGAATATTCCATCAAGTACAGGAGTGGCTTGGGAACCAACTGCCTCCTGAAATATGGGGTTGGAAGCGAGGAGTCGACGGAAACTTAGAACCAATAACGACCTTGGATCCTCCTGCTCCTGACGCGTTGTTAAAATCAATTTTTTGCCGATGTAAAAGTGGTTGTTCTGGAAAATGCAGTTGCCGAAAAGCGGACATTAAGTGTAGCCTTATCTGTAACGGCTGCCTAGGAGCTTGTACTAATGGAACCCCTATCGATGTTGATGATCAAGACGATGAAAATGAAACACAGTTTGATTGATAACACAGCATACTCGTGCAATTTTTTTTTATAATTTTTCAGAATTAAAATTCGTGTAACTATTATGTTTCTTTTATTTTTGTCAAGTTTAACATTCTGTATCTCCTAAACTATTTATCGCACAGTAAAAATGTTTAGTCATAAACTATAGGAAATTTAATGCAGATAATTAATATAGAAGTCACCAAAGAGATATTATGAATAGTTTTCGAGCCACAAGCAAAACACTAGAAAAAGAGACCTTCCCCCCCCTTCCCCTACCCCCGGCTCGTGTCCCTCCCTCGGGGGCTTTTAGTATATTCATCTGGACACCTTAAGGAATAACTATACCAACTTTCAAAACTACATGAATTATTTGGTCTGAATTCCTTAATTTTCTCAGGCTATATCTACATATGTGTTCATCTACATTGTTTTGTACGACGCAATTATTGTTTTGTAACCCATTTAAAACGACTGTTTTGTTAAAAATGCCAATGAATTCTCTTAGCCTATTACCAGGAAAACCATAAGAACACTATGACGCATTTCACCACTAATGTGTAAACGCAGTCCACGTGGACTAATGCAAAATAGCCAATACTAGGCTAAACTCCGCCCCCAAAGGTGTTCGGTCGCCGCTCTAGAACTTTTCGGCCCCATCGGCCATCTGTTCTACGAGCAATGCGCCGTGCCCAATGTCACTTAAGTTTGGCATTTCTTCGGGCTATGTCGGTGACGCTGGTTCTTCTGCGGATTTCTTCATTTCTGATACGAACATGCACGGAAACTATGAGCATAGCCCTTTCCATTGCTCTTGACAGCTCTAATAAGCTTACACAATACTAGGCCCCATGCCAACCTTCCAGCTTCATCGTCACATCAGTTCAATAGTACCTAACAGCCAAAGTGCATCTTATAACAATTCTAACAAGCCCAAACACGGCTAGGATATATTAATTAGGTACGCAGTTCCAGTGCCTACCTTCCAGCTCCATAATCATCATTAAATCAGTTCGATGATAACATTTCCAACATAATTATTTAAGATCATTGGTTTACAGTGCATTTTCATAGTTGCTGAACTACCTTGATTGTAATATCTATGCGAGTGTCAAGTTTCATCACCCATTTCTGATCTTCTTCACCAGTTCCACCTCATCAAATATTACTTTTTGACTGTAAATGCTTGAGTGCTCTATGAAAATATTAAAATTACTATATAGTTGCCTATAATATTTGAAGAGTTCCCTCGATTTCTCATGGATCCCATCATCAAAACTCGATTTTGAAAAGAATGGGACCAATCTGGAAGCATATCCTTTCAATCATAAAAAAAAATTTGCAAATCCGTCCATAAACGACGGAGATCTGAGGTAACAAACATAAAAAAAAAATAAAAAAAAAATACAATCGAATTGAGAACCTCCTCCTTTTTTTGAAGTCGGTTAAAAATGGAGTGGGGTGATAAAGAGGACCGAATCGCTGTGATTGCATTACACAAAGTAAGTATGGAGCCAAATGCAATTTTTAAAACTCTCCACACGCTTGGCATTAGTCAAATGTTTGTGTACCGGGCTATTAATAGGTACAATGAGACCTCCTTTGTTTGTGACAGAAAAAGATCTGGCCGTCCACGTAGTGTTCGTACGAAAAAGTTGGTCAAAGCAGTAAGGGAAAGAATTCGAAGAAATCCTGTCCGAAAGCAAAAGATTTTATCTCGGGAGATGAAGATAGCACCTAGAACCATGTCGCGTATTTTAAAAGACGACTTACGACTTGCAGCCTATAAGAGAAGCATTGGACATTTTTTAAATGATAATTTAAAAAAGAATAGGGCGATAAAATCTAAACAATTACCGACGCGGTACGCAAAGGGAGGTTACAGAAAAATTTTGCTTACGGATGAGAAATTTTTTACAATTGAGCAACATTTTAACAAACAAAATGACCGTATTTATGCTCAAGGCTCTAAGGAAGCTTCTCGATTAGTCGACAGAGTGCAACGTGGGCATTATCCGACTTCAGTGATGGTTTGGTGGGGTGTTAACTATGAAGGAGTGACTGAGCCATACTTTTGCGAAAAAGGTATCAAAACATCGGCACAAGTGTATCAAAATACCATTCTTGAGAAGGTAGTAAAGCCCCTTAACAACACCATGTTCAATAACCAACAATGGTCCTTCCAGCAACGGCGCCGGGTCATAAAGCTCGGTCCACGCAGTCTTGGTTGGAAACGAACGTTTCCGACTTCATCAGAGCTGAAGACTGGCCGTCGTCTAGTCCCGATCTTAATCCGCTGGATTATGATTTATGGTCAGTTTTAGAGAGTAGGGCTTGCTCTAAACGTCATGATAATTTGGACTCCCTAAAACAATCCATACGATTGGCAGTGAAGAATTTTCCCATGGAAAGAGTGCGTGCTTCTATTGATAACTGGCCTCAACGTTTAAAGGACTGTATTGCAGCCAATGGAGACCACTTCGAATAAGCTTTTTATGTTTTCAATTGTTTTATATTTATGTATTAAACTTACACACTGTAAAAGTAATAAATGTTATTTGCAATAGAAAAAATATTTTTTTTATTTGTTACAGTATTTATGGCTAGACTAGGTATAAATATTATATTTAAGTTATCTTTTGTCTGAACTAGTAATAATTTATATTATTGAGCTGTTTATTGTATTATCCTTATTTTGTGATACTTACAGATAGTTTACAAAGCAAGTATTTCATTGACTATTTATTGCAAAATCTAATCAATCCACTGACCCAAGAACGACCCACAAAAAACAAAGAACAACAAAAATCAACTCTCTTCCGCACACATTAGGGTATGTTTTACACATGACAACATTACCTTTGTCGTTGAGCCACCTCGCTATTCTGGCGTACACTTCCTCTTCGATAGCGATTATTATAGCGAGTAACGCTCGAGGTATCCATGTGAAATATATTATGTTTGTTTCCCACCAGTCCTGTGGAGAAATATTATTTCATCTATACTAATATTATAAAGCTAAAGAGTTTGTTTCTTTGTTTGAAGGCGCCAATCTCCAGAACTACTGCTTCGAATTGAATAATTATTTATTGCTTTGGACTAGTCGCTAGTCGAAAGCATCCACAACTAGTCACTAGTGGATGACAACTATGAAAATACTATATGCAAGTATTATTATTTGTTTGTTCTTTTCTTTTACGCGATCACAGGATCCCAGATCTTTGGAAGGCGTGCGAGGGGCCGAAGCCCTCGCAGAGGCCCGTTGAAAAGTTTTAATGTAAGTGTGATAGGACATTATTATTATTCTGCTTTCCTTTCACGGGACTACAGGGTCCCGGACCTTTGGAAGGCGTACGAGGGGCCGAAGTCCTCGCAGAGGCCCATTGAACAGTTTTAATCTAAATGTGATGGGACATCACCAGGCAATTATCCCTGTATGAGCTATAAAAGTGCACCCAAGGACAATCCCCAGTTGATGCAGACTATTGTGCAAAATTGTTAAAGATTATATGTTTATGGGTGTGGGTTGCTATGGACTGGTGGTTATGAGAACTATGGGAATACTATTATTACTAATATAGTATGAAATGAAGTAGTTAGGTATTGTACCTGTGCCCTAAGCAGGGCGAAGGTAGCGGCGGCGGCGACGGAGAGACAGAGTCCCATGAGGGGCACGGACACGCAGTGCCGCCACGCACGCCGCCGCCACGCCGCGTACACCGGCTCCGGCCGGCCCGTCACGCTGCTTGTACTCATCTCGCCCTGACCATAAATACTACGTCTAACTCATTCGTTCAACAATTGCAGAAAGAGAAAGAGATAGGTCGCTTTACAAAATAGTTATTTTATTATTATTTATACAATATTCCGTTTGTGACGTTTCTCAAAGAATTAGCAGACCCAGCTACGCGTTGCTGTGGCTAAGGTTCTTGTCATATTACATATGGACAAATAATTTGCTATAAAATAATATTGTGACTATAAATTGAGATGTAAGCTATCCTATCTTTCAAGTTAGATCGAAATGCACACGGAATGCAAATCAAATTGAAAATCGGTTTAATAGTTTAGGAGTCCATCGCGGACAAACACGTGACACGAAATAATTTTCATATGTATATAAAGATAAATAAACCGAAAATATTAATTGTGTAGGTATACACATGTATTTTGGCAGGTGCTTGGACCTGTCGCTACAAAGCTGCCATCTCACGGAGGAGCAGTTCAGAAACCCCTGATACCACTTCCAGACCCAGTTGCCGCAAGAGACACCTTTAGGGGTCGTGGATTACGCGACAATCTCAAGCCGCCTTAAGCGCTGGTCTGCGGACAGCGAGCGCGTTTTTCAAAGTTATAGAGCCAAGGAGGTAATTTCAAGCTAGTGAAAACCAGTTGCAAACCCTTAGCAGAAGTCATAAGATGACTTTTCCCCCACAGAAATACATCAAATATTTTTAGAAATAATTGGTTTCAATTATTTAAAACAAGCTATTTTTCAATATAGGTAATTTGTTTAATAAAAACTACCTCTTTTATCCCTCCCCCAATTTTCTCTTACAAGAACCTTCTCCTGGCGATCAAGAATAAGAAAGAATTGGCAAAATTGCTGGACCAATTTTGCCAATTTTTTTTTTATGTAATATGTCGGCAAACGAGCAGACGGATTAACTGATGGTAAGCAATCAGCGCCGCCCATGGAGGTGTTACGAGTGTGTTGCCGACCTTTTAGGGATTTGAAGATTTAGGAAATGGAGAGGGATTGGGAGGGGAAGGATTGGGCCTCTGGTAACCTTACTTACACGGCGAAACACAACAGTGTGGTTGTTTCACGCCGGTTAATTCTTTTTTGCTGTACCCACGCAGCCCGACACCGCACCCACGACACAGGAGAAACAGGTATTTTTTTTAAATTGCTGCTTTATGCGCTTATCAAAACATTTAACGTTTTATTTTTATAAATCTAGATAGAAATAGATGAAGACGATTACCTCAAATAATGGCCTTGGTTCAACCAGTAACTCATCCCTCTGATCCAGTGTTCCCCATTTATAAGCGAGCACGTTTGAATACCTGAAATCAGATACAAATGCCCAACATTACCTTTAGCGTACCTCCTTATAGACTAACAGTTGATAAATACTATTATAAATAAAAATCTCTAAATACCTTTTCCAAGTTTCCAAGTACACACACGCCCAAAGTACGTTGAACAGGGAAAATAATACATAAGCTATGTCCTTCCAATTCTCGTTTGCTGTGCCGAGCCAAATCTGGAAACAAGACAATACCGATATAAAGCGCTTGATTTTTATATTACAAGAATAAATATTAATACGTTTTCTGCAGACAGCACTCGACTTGCGTCTAGTTTAAAATGACGTTTACCTCTGTAACTAAAAGTTACTAGTTTCTGCCCATCGCATCGTAGGTACGCGTGTAAGTAACGTATCCCGGGATTAAAAAAAAACCGCGTTTAACGCGATAGATATTAAGTATAATAAGTATAATTTATGGCCTATAGGTCTATGGAACATTGTAGGTAGCTTTCTATCAGTGAAAGATTACCCCCTACATTCAACCTTACAAATTTTACCTCTTTATAATATTAGTAAAGATTGTATAAGACGAATAGAATTGTGAAGTATCACACACACAAACTTGAGTGGTTTAAGTGATACTGAATCAAAAATAGTTAGTCTTACATAAGTATTCGATAAATTTACAGAGCTAAGTGAACAGAAATCTCACCCAAAATATGAAGCCGACAGCCGCGGGCACTGTTAACGACCGCGTGTAGTGGCCAAGCCAAGCGAAGTACATCGCTATCTTAACGCCGAAATATTCACTAATCTCATCTGAAAATGAACAATACAAAGTATTTAAATGGAGGGTAGACAACAAAAAAATTAAGTAACACATTTCCTGCCAAATAACTAGGAACTCGTGCATTTCACTATACATTAAAATACTGATATTTGGACTTTTTACAAGTAATTTCCAAACATTTAAATACACAGAATTAATATCGATTTTCCGATTCCTGCAATTATGTAATTTAAAAATAATTTACGATGTGACGTCATAATTTTATACGTCAAGAAGCATACCTACTTATTTCTCTTCAATTGAAAAGAATGACGTAAAATAATTAATGAATGTGTGGCTTTTCGCTTATGTTTAACTAAGCACCAGAACTAGTAAAATATAATACGCAAAAATACTATCACCTAAATAAAAACCGCACTTTAATATTATTATTATAGTCAATTTTTTCAATTCCCTTTACACTATCCTTTGCAACCCAAAAATAATTATCGATCACAATATGTTTTGCTAGCGATGCATGGTCGCTTCGCTCGCTCGCCTCGCCAAGGGTCACAGTTCTTACCTAAACTAACTTATATCCAAGAAGGAATGCGCTAAAGTAGGTATCTTTTTCACACCAATTACTTCACTAAGATTTGGTGGTCTTTAACTCCTTTTATCTGTTGTTTGAATACAATTTAAAGTGCAAAAATTAAGGGAATTCAATCATTTTATGGTGGTAATTATAGGAAACTACCAATTAATTATTGAAAGACCTCATTAAATACACCGTAACTTCCCATTAATATTTCCCTAACATATAATCAGGCTGAAGGCGCATTGTACATTCTTACTATAGAATAATACATTGCTCATCCATAGTCATATAATAGACGCTACCAAACAATTACCTACATATCTTATAGGTATGAACTTACCAATAGGTTGTGGAGAAAACAGCGTTTTCACCCATTTCTTCCTAAGGTTCTCCAGAGCATTCCTCTCGTGTAGCGGGAACATACTTGCTACTACTCCTCTGCTTACACACGCTGGCACTGCGGACAAATTGTGTTAAAAATGAAATATTCCAAAGTCATTTTTTCCAACTAAACCATAAATATGTACGTTTGAAGCTTCAAAATAGAATAGTCAGTGGAGATAGATGCTCGTTCTAAATTGTAACAGTGAAGCTAGGTGCTCGTTCCATTTGTTCGAGCTGGTTCCGGGTGCAAAGTCAATGATGTACAGCGGTAGGTACAGAGCAGGAGAAGGAACGGTTTAAAGTAAGTTAGAGTCAACCAGTCCCTCACTCTCCACACAGAAAAAAGTCCCTGTGCAGCAGGTCTAAATCTTAAATACCTATTTAATAATTATTTGCTTACACGGATATTGAGCCAGGCATATAAAGCTATCTTACTATTCGATTGGAAACACACGTTTAAATCATAGTATAACTTACGTGAATGCAGTAATCACTTATTATTATTTTTCAAAATATTCACTACATGGCGCTAGTGTAGCATAAGGTCTATTAGTCCAACTTACGTAGCTGCCAAAAATTGAATGTAGAACAGTCGTTTGACACTAAATGATACTCTATTCTGGATGGACAAACAAACATTACTTTCCATCCATTAGCATCGTCTAATGAAGGAATAAACAGTATTCTTCATTAACATGTCTGCAAGGCTACATTATAAAACATAGCTACAAATTGCAGTTCAAAAGATTTGGTAGGTACTCGATATCCTTTTGACCAACACGTTAACACTTCAACTAACACTGATATTTAACGTGTCAGCTAAGAAATATTGTAAACAAACTAGACCATAGATAAAATCAGAAATAAGTAAAAACTTTTGCATTACATACAAACTATTTATATATAACATTGAAAATAACGGTCTACTAGAGCCTAATCTACCCCTTTCAAAGTTCAGATACTTCAGATATAAGAGAGAGAGTGACCTTCCCTTCACTCATTGACTAGAACCAGTTCAAGGTGAGAAGTTCATTCGTACACCATTGTGTGTAAAAGCAAAACTGTTGTCAATGGAATCTCGACTTTATATAAGAACAGTAAAGTTGGAAATTTAAATAAATACATAAAGAACTAGGCTGGCTTACTAGTGGTCTGTACATAGACTATTTTAACGAATGCCTACGATTTATGAGCGTAGAAGTTCATTATTTTTGTTTAGGATTTATGATTTTACGTTTAATGTCATACAATAATTATTTATTACTTTTCTATTATAGGAATACCTAGAGAACCTTATAAATAATTACCTTATATGTAATTCACATTATCAGCCTATAAGTGCCCACTGCTAAGCAAAGGCCTCTTCTCACACGGAGTAAGTTTGAGCATTAATCACCACGCTAGCTCAAGGCGGATTGGCGATTTCATTTATAGAATATAATCAGAAAGTAAGTAAAAGTTCAGGTTTTCTTTCGAAGTTTTCTTTCACCGTATGTCAGTGGTGTTTAAATAATCTAAGAAAGTACACACAGCTCAGAAATATTGATTAACAAGGCGCGTCAAAAGTGCGCGCCTTAACCTCCGAGCCACCTCAAAACTTTCCGCCAGGTCACCAAAACATTTTAAATTGTATTTGCAAGTGCACTTTGAAGATGATTTAGTTAATTTTCAATACTCCGGAATTAAACAAGCCAGTGTATCAAGAACTTATAAATTAAATATAAAGGTTTCGAAGTCAACAATGCTCCATAGACGCTATCGATGATTAACTTTCTCAAAAAATATGAACAAAGAGCCTGCATGAAGAAATTGATTAAAGATGAGAAAATGAAGTTGCCTCTGCCAACTGACTGCCAAACAAAATGAGGCATTGGAGAATCTGTGTTAAAAATGACACATGATAGTAAACTTACCAATACTCTGTCCAGGTCGTAAGGTGAGGGCAGGTTCCAGTGCATGCTCGTCGCCAGGTTCCGCACGAGCCGATTCTAAGGCATGCTTCACTAGAGCACCCCGCTCTTGAGAGTTCAACAGTTCTGTTGCTGAAGAACCCTGGAAATGTAGAAAAGAATATAAAGATGTAATTGGTCGGCAAACGAGCAAACGGATTGCCTGATGGTAAGCAATCAGCGCCGCTAATGGACACCCGCAACGACGGAGGAGTTGGGAATGCGTGTGATGGGAGTGGAAAGGATTGAGCCTCCAGTAACCTCACTCACGTGGGAAAACACAACGCTGTGGTTATTTCACGCCAGTTTTCTGTGAGGCCGTGGTATCCCTCCGGTCGAGCCGACCCATTCGTGCCGTACCGTTCTTCGTGTCTCATTTTCACGCAGGAGACGTGGTAAAACGATGCGTCGTGTCGAAACGAATGGGTCGGCTAATTAAATGATATAATGGCCTTGCCAAAAACTAGACTGTGTTATAGCTCTTACTTACAAAACCCATCCTCTCCTCAACAGTTCCATAATTCATGCTCAAAATCTCCAGATCCTTCATTAAAGCAGACGGAATATTTGTGTAAACAATTAGCAATTAAAATCGTGAAAACTTCTCTTGTAGTTATAACGAGCGAGATATAAAGTTACTCGTTAATTTCGACTTTAAGTTTTATGTATGACGTTTTAAACTTGAACGTTTTCAAATCTTTGTAAACGAACTTCTGCTTGGAGTGTTGGATTCCGCCCGATTTTAATTTCGTTTTGTTGAACGAATGTATTTAACGTGGAGGTTTTTACTACCATCGAAGCACTAGGAAACTCCTGTGCTTAGATTACTTTTCTTTTTGTTGGGACAAGATACAATGGTAGGCCTATCTTTAAGCATAGGGAAAAGATTAACATCCTCTGATCGCGGTGTGTCAAAGAAGAGATCGCTTACTTGGCATCGGTATTTTTAACGGAATGAGACAGCTCTTTTTGTTACATTTTGTCACGCTTAGGCAAAAAATAAACAAGCGAGTTTTAGCACAAAAACACTAAAACGGTTTTATCTCCATCCGTATAGTTGAAGGAAACATTTTATCGAGTTAGTATATCCGCGACTTTTACGTAAGTTCATACCAAAAGTACTTACTAGAGATTTCATTAAAATCCAGATACCATAAAATACAAATATCTACGACCTATGAATAAACACAAACAATGCGTACAATCGATAGGAAGCCGTATAATATGCGTGTCAGATACTGTTTTGCTGTGCATTCCATAAATATTTCATTGCTAATATTGATTGGGGTCGATATGACGTGCCACTTTTGCAGTGAATAGCAAATTATGGTATTTATTTTGTGTTCCTGTACGTTTTGTTGTACGGTAGGTATTGAATAGGAGCTCGAAAATTAGTCGATAAAGTTATTAGTAGTTCTATAGCCGAACAATGAGCTTAATTTTCAACCCTGTTAATATTAAGATGAGTCAAAATTATATTAGACATGCTTTTGCCCTCGAATTTTTTCGCAACAATGACCTGCAGATTTTTGCTTTAAAAACTATCCTATGTCCTTTTTCGAGTCCCAAACTATGTCTGTACTAAATTCCACACAAATAGGTTCAGTAGTTTAAGCGCGAAAAGAAGACAGACAGAATTACTTTCGCATTTATAATATTAGTTTGTATCAGAAAACCCTACGCCTTACTTAGGAATAGTTCAATTAAAATTAGGTAGAGACATTTCATACAACCCCCTTAGTTTATAATATAAAAACATACAACTCCTTAACAGATCCTAAAACCTGTTAATCATGCCACCACAAAAATATCCCATGCAAAGCTACATGACATGCGTACAGAAATGTTTATCGGTAATACGTATTTTTTATCTTATTTGAGAAAATATTACTTCAGAGTTCCCGGACTTATTGCTACATCTATTTAGCTAAAAGGAACTGGTCTGGCCGTAAAATATTTCTGTATTGCGGTATGTAATCGTTTTACCAGATAAATGTAAGAACGTACATTTTATTAACACGGCCTATGTTTATTCAATGTCTTTTGGAGCCCTACATATCTTTTGTCTATATTTTTTTTATTTTACCCTGTTTTTGTCTTTGTGCCTACTTCTGAGCAAATGCCTCTTCTCACACGAAGAAGGTTTGAGAATTAATCACCACGCCTGCTTAAGGCGGATTGGGGATGTAATTCCAGGTTTCGTTACGACGTATTCCTTCAACGTATGTCAGTGGCGTCTAAATAATCATACTGATTTTTTCCAAGTTATATGTAGGTACTTTACATATATCTAGGAAAGTCACATTAGAACTCGCCAGGTTTTAAACGCGCACCCTCGTGCATGAGATGCCCGCATCTACGAAACTTTCGGGCCTGCACGACATTGAAGATTTCAATTAACTTCAGCTTAAATCACACTACCTTTTTCAAGCTTCTATTTCGAGCTAACGTTGAGCATTTTTACAACACAAAGACTACCCTAAATCCGCCATCTTTTCCTTAATCTGTCAAGAAGACACAGCACTTTTTCCAAGATCTTTATTATAAAGTCCATGTCGCATTTGAAGCAGACGTGACCAGCTCGTTTCGTCAAAAGCAATATACTCAGTATAAATCCTCTTTATAACTAAAACTGAACACACCGGACATTTTGCTTTTTTTCTACGCTGCAAAAACTGCAAGTCACATACAAATTCTCACTAGTTATGTTATTATATCGCCATTTAATTTAGTCCTAGTTACAAAAACATTACTTTTTCCGTTTCGTGTACAGAAATTAGAATCTTAAGCTTTAATTCTATGAACATAACAATGAAACTTCCACTATACTTTGCCAAACGTCTCAGCAAAACAACTTTAAATAGAACATGGAAGTAATCCGAAAATTCCGCCAGAGCTAACGTTCCAAGTTACATAACTTAGCCAAAAATCTATAGTGAAGGAGGTCACGGAGCCAGGTTAGGAAGGTAGCAAGCGACGTAACAGCTGTTCACTCTGATCCTAGTCATTGTAAGCGGGGCATTGGCCGTGTACAAGATACTGCAGTGCTGAACCGAACTATGAATACTGAATACAAGATTTCGCTCGGTTAGGAACCATATCTCTATTTTTTTATACTAGTCTTGAATTTTAAGGATTTCCGAAAGCTGCTTATTCTGAATTACTAGTTCTTACTGGCGTGTAGCATCCGAAGTCAGACGGGCAGATTTATTTCTTAAGTCGAATATGCTGTTTTCATTCAAAGCCAGCGTTGTACTCAGATAAAGATATTTATTTCCCCCGCGCGTGTAACGTTCCTAAGTGCTATAGCGTGTTTGCCGAGGAATAAAACTATGTGATGCAAATGAACTCTGTTTACGATTTATTTTTATATTTATAATTCAACATTTACAGGCACTTTTGAACGAGTTGTAACTATGAAACAATGAAACAATGAATTTATTTTTGCAAATAGGCCATAAAACGGCACTTTTACACGTCAATTTATATGTGAAAAACTAGATAAAGCCGGCATTTCCTATCTGACTACTCTGAGAAGAAATGCCGAAACAAACTCAGAGGTCAGTCTCTTTTCAAGTCCAGACAATGTTAAAATAACATAATGTGAGAGAACCGTGCAAGTTCATTCTGTAGTGGTCTTTTGATGAAAGAACCACACCAGTTTAAGTGGACCCGTTCTGAAGACAGGCACGCAAGTGTCAGTTTGCAACCAGTATAGCTAGTACTGCTGAGTAAAACTGTAGTACCTACTTATATCACTTATTTCATCAACAACAACAACAATGTAAATTTTGGCTGGCTTCAACTAAGTCGGTTGCTTTCGTCAACTCGTCAATCAAAATGGAACTAAAGTAAGCTTAACTATGTATTTGACAGACGTCTAAACCAGGAAGAGAATGCACTTTTATTACCACCATATTCAATCAGAAAATCGATTAACCAACGCAGGTCTTCTAATCGCGTAAAAACTTTACGATTATTCGACCAACAATCAGGGAACATAAAAGCAGTATTTTCTAACACCGCTAGCGACTTTTGGAAGTGAATTTATTCGATCATCAAATTACGTAATTAATTTAAGGACGAGTACCACTTAATTGGTGTGAGAGGAATAACAAGCTGTTTTCCATCGGTCTAAAATTACTTGGGCACTGTGTACATTTATAATTTTGAGCGAAAACGCAGATTCTTGTTCCTCATAAATGAACTACTAAATATTCATAAGTTTTATATTTTTTTTGTTTGATAGGTTAGCAAACGAGCAGACGCATTACCTGATGGTAAGCAATCAGCGCCGCCCCTGACCACTCGCAACAACAGAGGAGTTGAGTGCGTTGCCGATCTTTTGGGGATTAGGGATTTGAAGATTTAGGGAAACGGGGAGGGATTGAGGGAGGGGAATGATTGGGCCTCCAGTAATTTGTATCACGCCGATTTTCTGTAGGCCGTGGTATCACTCCGGTCGAGCTGACCCATTCGTGCCGAAGCTCTGCTCTCCCATACATATTACCTATCTAGAAGAGCATGTCAACACATCTGCTAAGCAATAGTAGATACTCAGATATTAGGTAACATGAAAATACAATTATTAGATATGCATATTCGTTAAATTAACGAAATATAAGTACCAATATACACCGTCGCCCCAAATTCTACCAAAGCTGTACACGTACTATAAGTTTTTCCTTTCAAAACCAGGAATAAAAAAAAACTACGTTTAAAAAAACCGACTTCAAAAACAAAAAAGTGTCAAATAATTAAAATAGATATTTTAATAGCACTCTTACGTACGCGAAGCTAATACTTTTAATATTAATAATAAAACACTATCAACTCTATGTGCTACCTATTCATAGGTTTAAAGTCGGTGCCAAGCCTAATACATAATATTATAAGCATTTGATTGATGGCCTTAGCGTAGAATCAGAAGTCTATATTGTTTCGTTACATGCGAAATTATATATAGCTTAGAAAGATATTCGGGTGAAATATGAATTCTAAAAGTTTTCTCGTACTTAACGTAACTCGTGGGTTGTTCTCGTACTTAACGTAACTCGAGGTATGTTCGTTGTTGGTTGTGAAAATTTCGTCCTTTAGCAGTTAAACAGTCTTAATACTCATTTAGTTTTATTCTGTTTAGGGCTTGGCACCGACTTCAAACCTATGAATAGGTAGCACATAGAGTTGATAGTGTTTTATTATTAATATTAAAAGTATTAGCTTCGCGTACGTAAGAGTGCTATTAAAATATCTATTTTAATTATTTGACACTTTTTTGTTTTTGAAGTCGGTTTTTTAAACGTAGTTTTTTTTTATTTTTTACTTTTTAGTGTCTGTTACAAGTTCTTC